TTGTACCAAGACTGAGCCTGGTTCGTGACATAGCTGCGGCTATTCTAAACCTTTCTAGTAGCTTTTATATATAAGCTGTTTAATGAATCCGCAGAGTCTTATTCTTCCTATCCCTCTTAACTTATAGGCCTATAAATATATCAATAGCTCCAAGGTCTTTACCTTTCTAGGTCTTTAAGAGCTGTTTCTTAAGATATTCGCAGTCGGCAGAGTTACCTATAATTAGTATATTATCAACGAAGACTAATACGTACACTCTATTCTTAAAGATAAAGAGATTAGAGTTAGCCTCTAACGCTTCTAGACTTAGCTTTTCTATCTTATCTTTAATAAGGAGCTACTATTCCCTAAGTACTTGTTTCAGGCCATAGAGAGAGCGTAGGAGCTTCAGATATACGTCTTTCCTTCTATTTAACTCTAGGTGAAGCTTATTCTATATCTCCGGCGTCTTATTATTCGGAATTATTATATATATATCTTCTTTCAGGTACGCGTTTAGGAAGGCAGTATCGATATCGATATACTTAATCTCCAGGTCTCTTTTAGCTATAATAGCGAGTAGTGCTCGTAAGGTGGAATAGCGTACGACGCTCGCGAAGGTGTTAAAGTAGTTAAGGCCGTGTTTTTACTTAAAGCCTCTTACTACGAGCCTAGCTTTTCGCCGTGCTACAGAGCTATCGGAGTTGATTTTGTTACGTAGAACTAGTCTTGAAGATATTAGTTTCGAGCTGGAGGGAGGCTTACTAAAGTACACTCTATAGGTTCTAGCGCTTTATATAGCCTGTAATTCCTTAAGAATAGCGGCCTTCTATTCTACTGGATTCTCCCTTAGAGCCTCTGCGATAGTTATAACCTTAAGAGGTTGTATAGGTTCACCCTCTAGTGTAATTAGCGCTATTTAATAGGTTAGTGCCTTATTAAGGATTTACTAAGAGTATAGCTTCATAGTTATTACCTAAGCAGCTTACTCGAAGTATTATTTTCTACGCTGTTTCTTACTATATCTTAATAGTGGAGTATTATTAGACGCGTTTACTAGTTAAGTCTATTTAGGGAGGCGTTAATTAGACGCTCCCTTAGTATCTCCTACTATATTTTCTACAGCTAACTTTCCCCTTAAAGGATTTTTAGCTTCTATAGCTAGCCTCTCTCCTAGAGGTCTTTCAGCTTCTATAGCTAGCCTCTCTCTTAGAGGTCTTTCTAAGCCTTTAGCACCTTTAGCTGGCCTCTTAGTAAGTGCTGGACCGGTAGCTAGTAGCAGAGGTCTTTCTACTACTTTATTACTGCTTTTTAGTATAGTTTCCTTACTACTAGTATATATAAAGTATATTATATACTCGTTGAAGCCGTAGTTAGCTGTTTCTAGTTCCTTGAAGGTTTCTACGTTCAGGAGCCTATAGGTTAAGGTATTAGCTATACCTACTAATACGAAACACCCCGGAATCGTCCTTTGCTTTATTTTACCCTAATATAGCCCTAGTAGATATAAAGGGTACGCTATAGAGCTAAATACTCTTATTTTAGAGAGGTTTATAGGCCGTCCTCTATACGCTTCGATTAGAGTGAGTCTAGTGGCTGTTTTATATAGCAAAGCAGTAGTTAAGCGTCTGTTCTTTAACTTTACCGCCTACTTAATAGCGTAGTATTATATATTCTCAGGTATCTTTATATTATAGAGGATTAAGCGTGTAATCTTAGCTAGTTTATATATCTATCGCTCTACGACTCTATTTAGAGAGTATTTATATAGAGAAGAGGGTTTAGGAACGATTCTACTCTCTTACAGCTAGTTAATAAACTCAGGACTAAACTCTCCTTTACTATTATTAGTTCTCTAGTAGATAATTATACGGAATTTGCTTTGCCCTTAAGTTTCAAGCTGTAGCTTTAATTTCCGAATAACTAGTTAAATAGTTAATATAGACTTATTAACTAAGAGATCTACTTAACACGTTCTCGTAGTATTATCTACTACTAAAAGGAAGTATTTATAGCCGCGAATTAAGCGTAGTAAGATGCTAGAGATATTAGCGTATAATCGACGAATAGGTATATTAGTTCTACTATCTGACTTCTTATTGAAGTGCTCTTTTATACAGCCTGTAAGGTAAGCCTTATAATACCTCTCTCCCTTTAGCTTCGGAACAGAAATCAGTCTTATTCCGTAACTACTGTAAGTAACTAGTTTCTTTAAATAGGTGTAATTTATATAGCCTAAACGCCTATGGAGCAGATCTGCCTTTATTTCCTCTATACTAAGCTAACTCTCTATTCGTTCCTTTAGTAACTTTAAGTCTAACGGAATTACGTTATACGTAACTTAATATTAAGGATTTGTATCTAGAATATATAAACCTCTGTTTCTTATACCTATAAAGGCTAGTTCACTATTCCGGTATCTATTTACTGATATCTTAGTTAGTTCCGTATTAATTCCTTCGTCTGAGAGTTAATATATTAATACTAGCTTTATAGCTCTGAAGTCAGGTATATACTACACGTCTTTAAGGGTTAACCTATTAATAGTAATATCTCTATAACTTTTAGCTATCGAGTACGAATTAGTTACTATTTTAACGTATTTAGCGTTACGCTAGCGCTTAAGTTACTTAAACTTAGCTAGAACTCTACTGAAGTAGCGAGTAGCACTAGAGTCGATTTTCCAGATAGATTCTGTAATAGAGATTATTAATAAAGTATATTCTACGTCTTTAATATAGTAAATCTCTTCTAAAGGGAACACGGGATAAGTATTATTATCTTTAATTTCCTCTACTTTATTAGCGCTATCTCTTACGTAGGTATTCTTAGCTTCTATGTAATCTATATACTAGTAGCTGTAGCCTTTACACTAAGTATACTGATTTCGGCCTAATTTAGGGCGATTTCCTCTCTTTTCCACGCGCTCTTCACGTCTCTATTAGCTACTACCCCTGCTGTTATTATTCCGTCTTTCCTATCCTCTCCTATTCTTACGTATATTACCTCTCTCATATAAGTAGCCTCTACTCCTCTAGCCTCTACTATCTCTGCTACCTCTCCCTCTATTATAGCCTCTATTCATATAGTTCACGGCGTTACTAGTAGCTATAAGTCGAAGCTATTCCCTCTATTAAATTTAATATTCGTTAAGCTTTCATATAGTATCTCTAAGATCCAGGTCTTATGATTCTAGGGTAAGCGCTATAGTAATCTAAGCTCCGGACGCTAGTAATAACTATAATAGCTTAAGATATATATCCTTATTAGTAAGAGGTTTACTATCGCCGCTGAGCTTTACTTTAAAGAGTAAGAGCCTTATAATATAATTCTGAAGTATTTCCTCCCCCAGGATAAACTTTATCTTAAAGAAATCGTCTCTTATATTAGTAAAGGTAAGACTCCCTTAAACTACTTTACCTTTATCTGTATAAATAGCTTCCTAGAGAGGCTTAGCGTTATTTAGTTTAATAATATCTCTATACTTGAGAAAGAGAAGCTTAGAGATTAAGTTAACAACTATTTTAAAAGCTTCCTTCTTTTCTTTAGCATAAGTATTCTACTAATTAACACTATTTAGCACGCTAACTTTAGTAAGAATATAATAAAGAACACTAGCTCTAGCTAGCTCTTATTTAGTCTTAAGCTCCTATTTAAAGAAGTTATTAAACTCTAGTAGAGTTTTGCCTTTTAAGGCTCCGGCGACGTAGGGAATTAGTGCTTTTAATTAGGATAATATTATAACGTAGTAGCAGATATACTAAGAGTTAATAAAGTGGAGATCTTAATAAAAATGAAGTTTTAAGGTCTTTTTCGATCGATTGGAATTACTACTATGTCATAATTGCAGTTATATAAGGAGCTACTACAGAGAGAGAGAATCTCCTATATAAAGGGGTAGCGTACTCAGTAGTACGGCCTACAGTACTGAGTCTACGCCTACAATCCCCATATTTCTAACACACGTGGTGCAATCATTGGGTCAGAGGGTCTCACACCGTGCAGGCTTAGGTTAGTACTCGTCTGTGGTTACTTCTGAATGGATACTGGTTGATGGTTTTATGACGAATGTATTAAAGACTTAGCATCAGACTCCTTCAGAGCAGCTGGGTGGCATATTGCAATGACTGATTGCTGGGAATTATGATGGCATTTGAGAATCCATCGTAGAGACTTCTTCTAAGCAGCTTGGAACTTGAAAAAGAACGACAGATATTCTGAAAATATTCAAATGTTTCCCGTGACATATCCACCTGGGCTTCCAAATTTTCTATTCAGATTGGATCCGTACTTCTTCCCCTAATGTTCTCAGCCGCGACATGAACATGGCAGGGCAAGAAATCTGTTGCAACCAGCCGTAGCAAAGGAGCAAAGACTAGGACCTGGCTTAGCATCACTGAGTCATTGCTGAATTGATACTCTACTACTAACACGTCAAGCTCAATTAAGTAGTGAAACTTTTCCCGAGAAGATCCGAGCTAGCTATCCTCAATTCCCAGTGCAGCAGTCACTAATATTTGTGTTGTCGCTGCACTCCACGGCGCTGTGGGCACGCTGCATTGTCATTCTTGGTCTTTTCTCGTCTTCGTCTTGCTCTATTTCCGTGGAAGTTTCATGGATAGAAGGAGGAGAATATCCGCTCCTAAAGGACAAATTCGTATCCTGAATTTTTTTGGGATGTTTTGCATTAACCACTACCCCGCAGTTTCCTCAGACCTCCTTCATAGGAAAACCCAGTTCTAGCTCTCAAACCTTATTGATAGAGATTCTACTCTTGTCATTTGTAACGCGACCGACGTCAGAAAATTCTTCCCTCAATTCCCCGCTGTCCTACTGCTGATGTCTTAGTTGATGCTCGCCAGAAATTTTTGTTGACATGCGCCGAGCTGCAGCAAAAGAGGTTCGGCAAACGGAAGCCAGTCCTGATGCAGCATGGTGAAGCGTGGCGACCGCTGACAAACTTCATACTGTACACCTCTGCACTTCTCTCCTACTGTTTCTTGATAAAACCTTTTCATGTTCTGCAGATCACAACACCATGACCTCCCACCACGATCATTTCGAGAGTCTGATGCTTTCTCATCTCACACTGTTCCGAGCCTCACTGCATGCTGTCAAAGACATGGGATCGTAATCGCAGGGATCGGAGTCGGCGACAGCGGTTAAAGTCTTCCTAGCTGGGAGAACTATGTCCCATTATTACGCCAAGTACCTGCAAAGGCGAGTTTGTGACACACATGGTTTCATCTCCATTCGCTGTTTTTGACAAGCCCAGCAAAAGTACCTCTCGGATTAGTGTCTGTAGGGACAGTGAGGAAGGATTGGGGCTGAGCGGGTTGCTCCTTTTAATTTTGTGGCTGCATAAAATAACTCTAAGTTTAGTGACGAGATATTGCTTGTGGGGTATCACAGAGCAGAGTCGGGCGCGAGTGGCTTGAAGAGACCCAGGACCCCTTCTTTGTGCTTTCTGGGGTCGTGCATTCTACATTTCGGCAGAGCTCATGTATGCACTTTATGGTATCATGGACTGTAATCTGAAATACTGTCGATAACTGACCTGAGAAGGAAGCCGGTGGGCAAACATATCACGGCAGTCAGAAGCTTCAGAGTAATTCATGATGCCTCCTCGGATGCTGAGAACATGTCATTCCTCCAAAGGTCGGACGAGGAGCTGAAGGCTTACCGGGTAGCGGGTGTTGCCGTCGTGGGTCACTGTCCCTCCCGACTGGGACTTTGCAAATTGTCTGAGGCTCAAATCCATGTAAATGTGTGGTTACACGAAAGGATAGCTGAGTACACATCTTCTTGGGACGGATGACTGACCAATCATTCGAAGTGAGTATGATTGTGCTCATGCACTCAGCTCAGCTATCACAGTTGGGGCCCCAAACAAGGGTGATGATCAAGGTAGCAGTATTTATTCTATTGGAGGTCGCCTAACAAGGATTTGTTGCAAGTAGGTAGAAGGAGAGTCGTCCTACGGAGCTCATATATCAGCGTCTCTCTCGTAACTCCACCGACCTGGTGTTTAGAGGCATCCTTGACTCAGCGCTCCAAGCTACTCCGCAACATTGAAGCTATCAATATGGAATATGAAGTATGTCCTTACTATAAATGTCAAAATTCATGTTAATGCTTAGCAGACACGTCCACAAAGTCATGGTTCGTCCGCGGTAGACATCACCAAACATTTTGATGGAAGTCGAGGCTGGTTCAAAGGTCGTCGATATCAGAACCCCACATTACGAGACGTTGAGAAAGACGGACCTCTGGCACCTGCACCTCAACACTTTCACCGTGATGTCTTGAAACGGGAGACATACCGTCCGAGGGATCTTGCCCGTTACATCAGTCCAACGTTTGGAAAGCCGTATCGTTTGCTGGTTCAAGCCGCCCCGGGTCCAAATCTACAACCACCAGGAGAATGGCGACGCCGCAGAGTGGGTGGTAATGCCCCAACGCTGTTGAGAGTTGCAACATGGGCGATCAAAATGCACAATGATGAGATTGAAAACATCGCTCTGGCCATTGGAAAATCGATCCTGGTTGTGCCCGTCATCCTGTTCCTCGTGTCATGGCCGATTGGAGGAGGATCAGGTGCTGCCAGGTGAGTATACGAAGATATGACTCTTCGGCATCTTGGAATAATTGGTTCCACTTTCAAATTTGTATTCAAAGCTGGAGCTAATTCATCTCATCCCTTACAGATCCATGTATCTGAATTTCCCAAATCGATGCTATGAGTACCCAAAACATGCTCTCAATGCTTTAGACGCTGTACCGAATGCTTCAAAGAAAGTCCGCGGCCAACGAGACGACGACGGGGACAAAGAATACCGCGTTGACGGAGACCAAAGTCGCCTACTCAGGCCTCGCGCCTTGGTTGTCTACCGAAACGGTCGATGGGAAACCGCCACGGACGGCAGTTATACTGGACTCTATATCGTGAGTCTCGTCTGAACGCTCTTCCTCTCTAAGCTGTCTTTTTTGGAACAATTTCCTATCTTCCTGATCCAAATTCAGTCATCTCGTTTCTCGGAAAGGCAATGCTGACTTGGAAGTATTGTACAGTTCATCAGTTTCGCTGCTGCTGAATTCTCAGTTGCCACTCCTACCGCAAATAACCCTGACCTGACGACGCTCGACGAGCAGACCCTTGACTTCAGAGCAAGACGCCTTGCCGAGAAACATGGAGTTCAAGCATACTGGATCGACTACCGCTGTCGAGCGTTGCAGCAGCCAGAAGCAACAGACGATGTTCATCGATTCTGTGATGTAGTCAGAGGCGCACACCAAATCTGCGTCGTCCTTCCAAATCCATCCCAAGAGTTTCCCAATCCTTTGGTCTCTTTTGGAGAACGGTTGTGGTGTCTACCAGAAGTCTTGTTGTCTCGCAATCACAAGGTCATGCTTTGTACACCTGATCCCAAAGGTCTCGAGAATGACGATTCTACGGAGCTTGTTGATATCATGGAGATGGTTCACAGATGCTGGGCAGTCAAACTTGGACCCAACGGCCGAGTGGAGCGGGACTTGGAGAACGAAGAGAATTTCCGGCTCCTGGCCGAACACTATACCGGAAGTCTGACATTGTCGCGCCTCGAACTTATTCAAGTGGGCCTTTCAGCTCTTCGTTCTCGGAAATGGCGAGAGTTCCAGGGCGGAGACATGGCCTACGCCCTCATGACTCTGCTTTCGAAGCGACCGCGTATGGATCCTACAGACACAGAATTGCAAGCTCTAGCTCGTCTTTCTCTAGCAAACGACAGCGATCGCATAGTCGAACGCATGCTATGTATGGATCAGCCCCGCCTTCCTGGGTCGGTGGCCTGGTTCAACACCACTGACGACCTGGGTGCAAACCTGTGGGATATTGAGCCCCTCGCACAAGTCGCTGGTGTTTGTCACGATGGATCTATTATCATTGACGGATGCCATGGTATCAGCATTCGATGGAAGGATATTCCGCGCATCCACTTTCTAATTCGTGAAACATGGAAGAAAGCCTGGGCAGGCTACGCTCTTCGCAGCGGGCCTCTGTGGTTTATTATTGGCGCCGCATTGTGTGCAATCCCAGCCACCCGTGGACCAGGAGCTTTCCTACTCGTTGTCGGTATCTTACTTCTTATTTTGGCACCATGCAGTGTCACTGTTCTCTATGGAGGCAAAGTTTGGGGGGCCACTCCCTGGTTCATCGGATTTGAAGGCACCCTTCCCCTCGACGAGATCGAGCATATGACTTTTGGGAACACGATCGGCCGCTTCACATATACGCCAAGCAGCGGGCCTTACTGCTCGAGGTTGAATGAGGAGCGGATCGGTGCAGATCCAAGCGTCAACTTTCCAAAGTTGCCGAAGGGACACAGGCTTTTCACTCTCATCGACACTGTAAGTTCAGGCCAAAAGAAATGACCCAAACGAAGTTGACCACATAAGGGAACCATGACTGTGACGGTCTTCGCTGCGGTACGACCACCATCTGTGGCTCTGCTCTGTGGCAAGGAAGGCGGCATGCTGAGGGCTGTTCTTTGCTCTTATGAGCGTTCCACCAATTCTTTAGTGAAAGAGTGTGTGTTGAGGATGGAGACCCCCATGTGGGACCAGAGTTCCTTGATGGGTTGGACGAAGCTGTCCTAAGAATTTCTTGATTATATTTCTGTTTCTCATTCAGCACTTTGTATTCATTCAATTCCGTTTGGTACTTCAGGTGTTCGGGGAGGAGTTAATCTGGGCTGTTCAGTGTTGAGATCTTTGCAGCAGCGCTACTTTCTGAATGGTGCTTTTGAGTAATTTGCGTTTACTTTGTATTTCTTGTCGCTTGTAATTGCACGAAGTGTCGGTGCCAAGCTTAATGACCAAATTTTCCAAGTTCTAAAAATTACATTAAAATTGAATACATTGTTCCAGTGTTTGCACGTCGTGTCTCCTCTCCCTGTTGTCCTCCATCTGGATACTCGAATGCATGGGAGTATTTCATCAGGTCAGAGTTATCCGCTGCAGACACTCACATCCTGAAAGTAGTAGCTGTGCGCTGTCCAGAAAATATTTGAAGTGCCAGCGTTGCAGTTACCGTTCTTGGTACCAGTGCAGACTTTGATGTCGGGAAGATTATAAGAGGTAGTCTTCGCACTTCCAGTAGAAAGCCAGAACTCAGGACTCGTGTGATAGAAACCAAAGGTCCTTCCTGGGTACCTTGGGATGGGGTCGTCGGTGTGTGTCACTCTGTAGTGAGCTCCTGCCTGGGCGTCCACGAAATTGACGAAGGCTTCATTACCAACACGCGGACTGCCGTATGAGTATACGTCGCATGCATAACCTTCCTTCCTCAGATACGCAGCAGCAATCGTCGCTACGGCCCCTCCAAGACTATGACCGGTGAGGACAATTGAGTATGAGGGGTATGTAGCCTTGGCGCTTCTCACTGCTCTCATTGTGGTGCTTTTAACGTCTCCCCATGCGTAGAAGAATCCTTGGTGAAGCTTGCAACCTTTAACAAGCTCTGAACATGATTCTTTGGGAATAAGAAGACTGTTTTGACAAGATTTAGTACAGTATCCATTAATGAGGAGTGGTTGAGGGGTCGCATACTCAGCAATGAGGTTAGCGAGAGACTTTGTCCCTTTGTATGAGATGACGATTGCCTTGTTCGCCGAATCAATGCCAACATATCCCGAGACTTGAGATTGATCAAATCTGGACGCTGGTCAGCAAATCAAATTCTGTGTATCTATGCTAGCAGAAACTAACCCCAGATATGCGTAGTTGGTTACTGAGTTCGCAGCTACGGCTGGACAAGCGTTATTGCCACAAGATATCTTCGAGCCAATCTTTGCTGCTTTAGCATTACAGTATGCAGCTGCGGCATGCTGAACATAGTATTTCATGTTATTGAGAGTGCCTGCAGTAAGTGCAGTGGGCGTTGCTATTGCTATATTAGCATGCATGCGAATTAAACCGTGAGAGAGCACCTACCCCGCTCATCCAGGAGAAAAGAGCCATTATTGTGTAGAGTTATTGGCGTAGAAGCAGCACTTGCAAGGAAGGTTGCAAGCGCCAGAAAATTGGCAGAAGAAAAATACATTGTGAAAGTAGAAACGAATGAACGAGTGACGATAGTTAGAACAAAAGAATGGAGATCCCAGATGGGCTGCAGAACACACACCGGAGCTGGGTAGTCTATTCTAGTTATGTACGGTGCTAATGACGTCCTCTTCAGTCTATGGGCGCAGTCAGCGCGCAATAGATGAACCTCTACCGCGAGACACCGGATCGGAAAGTTTTCCCATCCCGGCAGTATCAAAATCTTCCGGAATTGAGCCTTTAAGTCAGCTCATTTGACATTTATTGTGGGTATGTTTCTCCGATCAGATCTTGGGTGGGGTCAATCATCCTGCACAAGTGGATCAGGTGAAGTTTGAACTTCTGACATGGGATAGACACAAGTGGTGGCTCTGGCTCCACCACTCTCACCATTCGTAGACCCCTTGAATGTTTCCTTCCCACGATAGGAAATTAGAACCCAAAGAAGGACATCGGAGTGAACAGAAAGGGTTGGTCACTTCGTACCTGCAGGAGACTTTTGGTGTTCCGTACGAGAGATACGAAATCCGCCTCCACTCTTGGGGAAAATTTGTTATGTGTCTGCCATTCGCTCTGTTCGGAGATCACTGAGAACGTTTCTGCCAGTTTCTTTAGACCTTGACAGAGACTTAACCTGCTTCAACTGCCAAAATCCTGAACCGAGATCTGGCGGTTCGACAAAAAGTACTTACCTTGAATCTCGCTTATCATTGATATAGGCCTGAAATGAGCGCTACCTGATCAATGCACTCGGCGGATGTTCCTCATCAGAGCTCCCTGCCGAATTGTGGCAGAACCAACATGAGCTTCGGCTAAGCTCAGGAAGTCGAAAGATGATTGCAGGAAAGCCGTGCAAGAAGAGCCAAGCCTGCTGACTTCATTCTCGGAGAATTGCCTCAAAATTCTTGATGCTTGGGATTTCCAAGAACTGTCATTAAACTTTTTTCAAGACTTTACGGCTTGAAGCGCGGCTTAACCTGCAGCTTGGAGTGGAGTTCTGGGCGAAAGAGTATTTCCCCACTTATCTCATAAATCAGACCCTCCTTTGGTGGTAATTCGTGCCACGCCCTATATATCTAGCCTTTAGCGTCTCAGTAAGCAAGTTAATATAAATTAGAGTAAATTGAAGTAAATAGGCTAATCAGATACTAGGGATAAGGCGAGCCTATAAATTCCTACCGGAGGGTCTAAGGGAAAATAGTAGTATTTTAGTAGTTTATACTATACTTTTAGTAAGGAATAGCTAATATCGAACTACCTATTATAATATAGTACTTCTACCTCTTAACTACAACTGATTACAATTATTAAAAGTGTATTTGAAAGCTCTTTTTAACCTCTATTAATTATACTAAGCTTTATTTATTATATTTAGCTTAAATCACGTAATATTCCGACTTAAACACGATACCTACTTATAGTGCTTCCGGTACAAGTAGCCCCTCCTTACTACTATCTTTACTCTTATTACGTAAAGGATAACCGCTACTTATAAGGCCTTATATCTCTAGTGAGCTTTTAAACCTCTTATCGAGTCTATTTAATATCTCTAGTAAGCTTTTGAACCTTCTATTAATTCCTTTACCTTATATCTCTAGTGAGCTTTTAAACCTCCTATCGAGTCTATTTAATATCTCTAGTGAGCTTTCTTTCTTACTATTGACCTTACCTCGCTTATTCTACTATAATTCTAATAATAGCTCTAGTAGAGACTCTACTAATAGCTCTAATAGAGGTTCTAGCAGCGAATCTAATAGCGACTCTTAGGGAGACTCTAATAGTAATTCTGATTCTACTAATACTATATAAGGAGGATTAGAGAATATATAATATTAGCGAGCTCTAAGTAAGATAAGGCTCTTAAAAGGATCTGTAGTAGAGTAGGTTTTTAAGGTTCTTAAGTACTATAAATAGTCTCTTAGGAAGTTCCTTACTACTTTTATTATAGAAAACGATTATACTTATAAGATATACTTATAATATATTCATATAACTAAGTAGCGTTAGAAGATACTTTAATATACTTTAGATAATATCAGGCTAGCGTTTAGTTCTATTCCTCTTAATTTACTACGCTTAGAATTCAAGGCCTTATATTAGACTTAGTACTTTAGGCCTTTTAATATCTAAGGGATAGATAAAAGGATAGATATAAAGTAGGGTTTCTTAAGTATAAACGAAGTAGCGCTTATCTAATCTACCTTACTTTAGTTGTTACTTTAAAATAAGTGTACTTTGTAGAACGTATATAATTAAAGCCGAATCGCTTTATTAAGGTCTTTTTAAAGCACTACTATTATAATAACTAGTATACTCTCTTTTATATAGTCTAAGAAGCAGTCTAATTATATATAGTCTTACTTAGACTTATACCTTCTTAGATCTAGTATAAAACATCGAGTAATCGAGGTCTTATTAGGTCTAGGTATATACTATTTATACTAGACTAGAAATACTATAATAAAAGAACTCGCGGCCCTTACTAAAGTATATAATTAAACTCTCTTAACTTTTATATTCTCTTATAATTATAAGTACCTATCTACTATTAGCTTATTTACTTTAATTTACTTTCTAGGTAATAGTATAGGCTTACTACGCTCTTTATTCTTAGTTATCTAGTTCTTATGTCCTACTATATCCTATCCTCTTATTAGCCTACTTACTTTAATTTACTTTTTAAGCGAGAGTATAAGCTTATTATCCTTATTCTTAGTTACCTAGTTCTTAGTTCCTACTATATCCTATCTTTCTATTAGCTTATTTACTTTAATCTACTTCTTAAATAAAGGTGTAAATATACTTCTACTATTTAGCTAATCGATTAGCTATTATATCTTACCTTCTTACTAGCTTATTTACTTCTATTTACTTTAACTTACTTTTCGTTTATTAATTCTCTTTACTTAGACTATAAGATTAATATATACTATAGACTTATCTCCTTCTACTTAGTTATAACTCCTAAAGTATTATTATCTATAATAATATTAACTTTTAAGATAATAAGTAGGATAAGGTCCTTAGTTATATTAAGACTTAAGAGGCTATAACTATAGCTATAATTATTATTTACCTAGAGATACTAATTATAGGTCTAATATAATTAATATATAACCTCACGGTTCCTCTCGCTTAGAAAGATATTATATTTTCCCTTAGGATTAGTAGTCTTAATTATCCTTTACTTCTTAATATAGTCCTACTTTTACTACCTAACTTAGTATATTATTAATCTCTATTATAGTCTATTAGGGAGCGTATTACCTAGTTCTTAATCGTAAATACTATCCGAGATCTCTATCTTACTATAGTATAAATAATATTCTAAGATAAGATAAGCTTATTTCCTTTTATACTAGAGCTCGATCTCCTTCTAATCTATAGGACGGAATACTACTAGTTTAGAGCTATATTTGAAAATAAGGGGACTCTTACTAGTACTATAGGGGTCTATAATAATATCTTCTAGTGATAGTTATACTTAGATCTAGATAAGGATTTTAAGTCTCAGCTATAGCTACTCTATAGAGATTAGCTTACTATATATTATATTCACTTAGTTAAGGATAAATAACAGTATATAGAGAAGATATATAATTACTATAATTAGTATCTCGGTATTAGTATATAGTTCTATATCTAATATAACCTTAGGTTATTATTAATACGTATATACTATAGTAGGGTAGTGTAGTTCTAGGTCGGAAGATAGTTAGCCTATTCTATAAGGTTATATAGATAGGCGCGATAGCGTGTAATAAATATATTATCTTCTCTCTCCTACTCTTACTACTTATTTAGTTAGTAGTCCTCTATATCCCTGCTTACTATACACTTTAATAGTACTACCCTACTTCTTTACATTAGTAACTTACACAAGGAACTAGAAGTAAAGCAGAGGAATAATTAAGATACAGCTAAGCTAGTAGTAAAAGTAGGAGTTAGAATTTTATCGCTTAGTAACTTAGTTATAATAACAGATAGACACGTAAGAAACAGCTAGAAAAAAGGGGCTTAGGGAGCTCCTATTTAGCGGATAAGATATCAGGAAACAGCGGAATATAGGTAGAGAGAGCTAAGAAGGTATAAAAGGGAAAGTTATTATAATAAGCTTAGAAGATAAGGTTACTATAGTAACAAAGAAAGTTTATACAAGGAAAACAAGTAGGGAACAGATAAACACGAAAAGAAAGCAGATCTAATATAAAAAAGGGGCCTGAAGTAAGGTGAAAAAGGGATATAAGGAAAAAGGGTTAAGGAGGTCAGAGTAGTTAAGGGAGCTAAGTCTAGAGGTTATAAGGAGTATAATTACTATACTCCTACTAGTAACTCTAGCACTTTTAACTCTAGTAATATTAGGTATACTATACCTTATAAGTAGGCACTAAAGGTTTAAATCGTTTACTAAATTCCCTAATATAACTATATTTCTAAGAAATCCTAAGAACTAGAGAACGCTAAGTATAGAGGAAAGTAATATAGTAGAATATATTTAAGTCTAGAAGAAAAGCTATTAAGAATCAAGGACTACAAATTCTAAGATAGCGGAAGTTAGGTATATTTCAGTTATACTAGCCCCAGGTATACTAAGCGCGCCGTACTTTAAGGGAGCTAATATTACGGAGTTCTTAAAACAGTACACCGATTAGTACGACAATACCTAATTAAAGGATACAGACTAAATCAAATAGCTTCCCTAATATTATAATCTCACTATTAGTTAGTATATTAAGATACTACTAGAGTAGACAAGTAAGAATTAGGAAGAGCTAGTAGTCTCTCTTTTAAAGGAGTATAAGGATCAGGATACTTTTCAATAGATAAACTCCTAATTATTTCTTAAGGCTCTGAAGTTAAAACCGTGAACTATAGAAAGTGATATGAAGTAGTTTATTTAATAATTCACTATAATATCAGCTACCCTAGTAAAAAGGGGCCAGTTAGAAAATTATACTCAGGGAGTATAGTTCTTAAACGGGCTACTAGGGGATATTTATAAAAAAGTGATATGTAAGAATAAGGTTAATATTAATAAGCTAGGTACAATTAAGTTTAACAACTTAGTTAAGATAGCTACTAAGATTTATACGTCTAATAAGATAGTCCGGGAGTTTTCTAATAATCGCGTGAAATAGGAGAGCCTTAGTGAATTAGTAGATTCGCTTAGCTAAGTACTTATCGCCTCTAAAGTAGAGAGTTAGCTAGTTCCCCTTATTATTAGCCTAAAGACTATATCTATAGAAGTAATAGAGGAGATAACCTAGGTATTTAACGCGCTAGCGCTAGCTATAAGAGTATCACGAGCTCTATAAGTACCCGGGGGAAGATCGGGATTTAACCCGCTTAGTAGAGGAAATCAGTTAAGAGCCTACCTAGTAAGACCCAGTAGTTAAGTTAATCTATCTAGACCGCTATAGGGGGCTTACTTAGGCTAACCCCGGCGTCCGAATAACTCGCTAATTAAAGTATATATAGCAGGTACTTATAAGGATCGCCAGAACTAATATTTCTACTATTTAGAAAATAAGTATTTCCGTAAGAACTACTTAAACTTCCTAATAGATATAGAAAAGAGGCTCGTATATAACTATTAGGGCTAGATATATTATAGATACGTAGGTAGCAGGAGGCAGTTAGTTAGGTAACACAGGGGGGTCCTAGTAATAGAGGGTATACGAGCTAGTTAAAAGGGAACCTTAACATAGGGAACTAGTAAGAGATAAGCTAGGGAGAGCAGTTTAATAATATAGCTGATATAAGTACTATAGTACCTTATAAATAAAGCCGAACCCGCGAAGGTAATAGTAGCAGGGGTAGTAACTTAGGATAAGTTAGATATTAAAGAAGATAAGAGGGACTAA